CTTTCCCTAAAGGAAAAACAAGGAAAAAAGCCCCAACCTTTTTGTTGCACCAAGATCATCTCCTGGCATTTCTGACCAGCACACATGTTGTTACAATTATGACTGGACTGCTTGGCTCCGGGATAGGGGGAATGTTAAACCAGCACACTGGCACCCATCAAAACATTTGTGAACTTCCAAAGTGGAACTGACACCATGGTAGTGTTTTATATCACACGTCAGGGAAAGGCTTCATAACTCAGATCAAACAATTTAACTCTTGAGCTCCCTGTCTAGAGAGAGCAACCAAATGCTATGCTGCCTGTTGTTATTTCATGTGGCTGTTTCGTATGGTTTCCAGCCAGTTCACTTCATTTTGCAAGCTCAGAAGTTAAAGGCAGACAGAAGTGACCAGAACTTCGATGAGGGACTTGTAAGAAAATAGAAACTGCTGATTCTAACACAAGCACCTCCCCTGTCAGGCAGAAACAGCACCAGCATTATCAGGATGGCACATGAGATTTTTTTCACCTTTCAAGGAATTTTGTTGGAAAAAAAAGACTCCCTTCTAGGACCCTCTTGTTCTTAAGCAGTTGTCAAAATGATCTCTGGACTTACACTGTTTTGCCTTTTTTTGGTTTGAGGAGTTCAAAAAATAATCTTATCCATAGGTGCAATCAGTAGGACTATTTCAACGACATTTTAGCCTACTAGAGAACCACAACTTATATGCAAAATGGAATGCATGTGCTTCCTGTAAATACCATTACAATTCCAGTTTTCTGTCAGATGCTCTTCTGTATGTCCCCTGAAGAGCCAAGTACAACTGTAATGAGGAACAGATCTATTCACTAGGACTTAAGATTCTCTTGAGGAGCAACTGGGGACAGCTGCAGAGGACAGAAACAGGAGTGGTACAATTAAATTATTATTGCGTTTACTGGTATCCAGTTTTGAAAACCATCATCAGGTTGCTACAAGCTGTTCTGCAACAGCAGACCAAGCAAAGGAAGTCAGTCACAATTGTCTCACAATACAATCAATCTTCAGCTTTTAGGCCAGGATTTCCAGCAAAACAACAGGGAATGCAGTGTATCAGCAACAACAGAACAGTGCTTTGTATGGATCTCAAATGTTGCTTCAGAGTTTTCTAACTTCAGTTAGCCCTGATTATGAGTGGCTTCTCTAGGAAACAGATTTATCCCTCCTTCTCCTGTGTATGTAAAGCACCAGCAGAGATTTTCCAATGCTGCCCTGGACCACGGTCAGTTGAAAAGACGCCTGACAAACAGTATACCCTGCCTTGTCTTTGCTTCATAAGTTTTCTCATTTTGGAACAGCTTTTTTGAAGGTTTTACTTTCACACAGGGGAAAGTTGCCAAGGGACACACCTGATACCATCATTTATCATCTCCTGTGGAAAAAGCCTTGGATATGTGTATTAGGATCAGATATCACAACTGAAAGTAAACACGCTACACAGAAGATGCACCAATTTATTAATAGAACAAAAATGAAATGTAGTGACATGTTTTTCCACTATTAAAGCCATAGAGAGCCATTTATAGACTCGGTGGTGTCATTCAGCAGCTCATTCATGAACTCTGACTGACACGTACAGATCAGGTACTAGAGGAACCATTTCCACCACGAGAGCAGCCTTCCTCTGTGACAAAGTGGACAGCTCTGAACACCATCCCCACGACTCGCAGCTGCATCAGTCCATGGGAGGTTTTCCTACCTCCTCTATTTTAATTCCCGAGACTTTCTCCACCTGGAATAGCTTTTTAAAGCCTTTCAGCAGCAACAGAGGAAAACAGCTGAACTTCTTGTGGGGTACAAACCCACTCTTCAGGCAAGAAAATGTATTGAACATTATACAAAAAATGGTCCCACTTCCAATATACAGTGGGGATTATTCATTACAAGATCCCTGGGTAACTATTGTAACTTTGAGGCAACTATGACAGAGAAAAACATTTGCAATGGAACAGCTTCAGTTGTAATAGTCTCTTTTGTGTGTCTCCACTTTTACATCATCCATTCTGCAAACTGTGACCTCTCATTTTTTGTTAAATCATAGCTGCCCTGATTTCGTAGACATTAATGTTATAAACACACAGCTATGTGTGACATAGCATGATCTGAAAGGAACAGGCAAAGGGAAAATAGGAAATATTCTGATTGACTTTGCCATTTGCCTCAATATGCAAATTTCTTTTAAATCAGGCACAGGAAAGAGTATCAGCTACAAAGATAATTAAAGAAAGCACTTGGGTTTCACAGGATTAAAAACCGTTGAAAAGCAGTCCCTTACAGATAAAAAGAAAAGCAAACTTCCTGTTGCAGTTGTCAGGAGACAAAATGCATTCAGAAACAGTAAGCTGGGATATTTCCTCCTGTAGATACACATCTCTTGCACACTGCTTGGAACTGGTATCATCTGTGATAGGAAAATGCTGAAAGCCTTTGGAAAAACCCTACTGTTCACTTCCAAGTATCCTCTTTCAGGAAGGTACAAAGCCCCATGATGAGCTGAGCATTAGAACATGAACTTAAACCAGAATGATGAAAAGAGATGGTGAACCCCAAATGAAAGCCTGGTGAAAAAAACGAGCCTCTAAAATTTGAAAAAATATGAAAGGAAGAGAGAAATGAAGTGCATGTTACTGGCATGGCAGAAACCCAGCTATAACAGACAGCACACAAGCCTGCAGTGAGCACGTCACCCATAACCAGCTGGCTGATGTGAATATGGTAGTCATGTATCAGAACAAGCTGGAGAGTTTCCTGAAGTCACTTTTACTGTTTGGCTGTCCATATTGGAAAGGGATTTGGTACCGGAGTTTTCAGACTGAACCAACTGTTCAGAAGTAGCAGAAGTGCCAGCAGGGCTGGCATGCTCTCTCCTCTCCAGCGCCGTGACCCCAGCACTGGGGCTTTCCTTCGCTGTCCCAGCATGATTGTGTGACTGGCTGGCCTGTCTCCCTGCTTCTGCCTCCTGCTGCTGCAGCATTCGCTCCACCTCGATCTCAAGTTCCAGATTTTCCTCATCTGCCTGCACTTCCAGCTGCTGCATTAACTCCTCCAGCTTCCTGGCCTTGCGGAGCTCGTTCTGCTGTATGATGGTGCACAGGTGCTCTGTGAGGTGCTCCTTAATCTCCGTCTTGTGCTGCAGGTCCAGCTTGGCGGCCACGTACTCTGACTCAGCCTTGTCATACCGCTTCCTGCAAAACCAGCATCATTTCTAGTGGGTTAGTTCTCCAAGCCATTTACAGTCAGACACATGGACAGGTACTTTAAGCATCCTTGAAATGCAATGTGCTCTGCCATGCTTTATGCCCGCTATTTCAGAGCAGCTACATTAGCAAAAGGGAAGAAAATAAGTGCAAATCAAACAAACTTCTTCTGACACGTTAGCTTCCACTGCTGCTGTACTCCAAGAGTTAATTTACTCATCTGAAATCTACAGATTGAATCCCAAATAAGCATTTTTCCTGCCTGTTTTAATAGATTCATCACTGGCAGCAGAAAGAATCCATCAGAAATGTTAAGTGTTTTCACACTTGTAAAGAACGCCTACCTAGTGAACCGAAACACTGCAGAAGTTTTGTGTTTTTTCTAACCCAACCATCTACCCAAGAGAGACAGATGCTACAGTGGTGCTACACACATTCATATTTTGGACCTACTCCAGAAGTCTCTCTTCCGGCCACCCATTTAGCATGTTCAGAAAATCAGGAGCCGCACAGATTGACACAGCATATGACACCAATAGTGATCACAGCTTCTGCATGATGTAGAATGTTACTGTCAGCATCCCTGTGACACACACCTCCTGCCAATCTGCACTTCCTGTCATGACAAATGCAGCAAAAAGGAAATATTCCAAAAATTTACTGAGGTTAATGCATCTGAGATACCTAGCACTTTAATAGTTGGTGTCCATATTAATGATGCATCTTTCACTACATTCAGTGAATCTGTATATTCATTCTGATTTAATAGAAAGACAGATGAAATCTTGCTCATCAGGAAAGGGAAAATGCAAAGGCTTTTGCAACATAACTACAGTAAGTACCTTACAGGGTATTCATAAAAACAGTATTAGTAAGGTGGCTGAATAAAGAATCCAGCTGTTTTATAAAACCAGAGTCAAATATCTGGCTAAACAAAGCAACAGGAGAGATCCTTTGCTTAGTGAAACAGAAGGACATAGAAAAGCCTTCCCAAATATGTTCCTTTATATGATAATCACAAAACTCTGACCCAGCTATAAAAGCTGTGCCTGCAGTGGGCAGAAGATGCCCACTAATGTTTCCCTCTCAAGAAGGTCAAGATTTTCCTACTAATGCTACGCTGGAAACTTCTACACAGTCAAATCTTTGGGCTGAATTCACACGTATTCTTCATGTCCTATTTACAAAAAATCCATTCCACAGCCATTTACAAATGCCCCTAATGCTGCATGTGCTCAGGACTATTTAATATTGCACTTTTTAACCCACTGAAAGTATTTGTGCTTTAGCCCTAAAATATAAGGAAAAAACCAAACAAATTTAAAAGACACAAAAGTAAAACACCTTTGGCTCACAGTGTATAAAAAATACAACACTGGAAGTATCTAACTCACATTGCCAAATCCTTCCCTCCCAATAAGACTTACTAAATTCATAAAAGTCACTTTGTAAAGTTTCTTCCCTTTGTCCTACCAGCATCCTCTTTTGTTATCTTCATTAAAAACTGCTTTCCAAACGTCGGAGCTTGGGTTATATGCTCTTTAGCCATTAAGCATTTCAAATATACACATTACTATGAGGCATTTAACAGTTTCAGAAACCAGATTTAAAACTAAAAGACACTGGTATGTTTTTTCTCCTGAGGGCATGAAATTCAGTGCTCACACTCAGCTCCTGAAACTACAGTTAATCTTAGATATTTCAAATGTTAATTATGCAAAAGAAACAAAACACCTTATTTTTTAGCTACCACTGCTATTTTTTTTAAAGACTAATCACCACGTTTATTGGCCTGTGGTCAATGTAGAGCAGAATTCACAAGGAGAAATACACATTTAACACATTGAATTGTGAACTAAAAACCGCAGCCGAACGTTTCCATTCTATTAAACGGCTACATAAACATGCTGATGTTTATCTACTGATGTTGTGGTTTGCCCACAACTAATAGGGTGTTCCGATTAATTTCTTGCATTTAAGGAACTCATCAGAATCAGAGTGATTAAAGGCACATTGTGCAGGGTGAAAGCTTGCTTTTTCCATCAATTTTTGGTCTCAGTTCCAAAAGCACTTCAGCTGTACTATATGTTTTAAGCTTAATTGGTTCCATTGATTCCAACAGGACCAGAGCTGTCATCAACAAGTTTCCCTGGAAAGGACTTTCATTTTAGGACTTAAAAAAAAATCCCTCTTTCCCCGTGAGAAGAAATAAACAACCTTGAAACAATAAAGCAGGGCCTATGGACAACTGCACAGTTAAAGCAGTATGTCTCATGACAGCATGAAGCTGGAGAGCAGAGCCTGCAGCTAGAAAACCTGCTTCGGTTTCCAGATTCCAAAGGGAAAATTAAGAAATAGAAAGCACACTTTTACCTCAAGATTTGAAAGCCCCCCAGACTGTGACCACTCTAGCTACACATTATGACAATGACATAACTCCATTACTTTGGTGACAGGAAACAGCATTTTCTCCCTCCACTCAGGCAGGGCTATTCCCACCTCCCTGTCTCTTACCGGGCGTAAGAGTAGTCCAGGCTGGCCTGGTCAATGCGGTTCCTCAGGATGCCAATGTCAGCAGATACCATGTCATCCAGTGCTTGTAGTTCCTTCTGAATCCTTTTTAGTTTCACTGTTTCAGCTTGAGTTCTTTTGGATCTGCAAAAGGAGGATGCCTTTTTTTTATTTATTTTTTTTTCCAAGCTACTCTCCTTGACATAACGGGCCCCATTTCATTTGCAGAGGAACTAACTTCTTTAAGAGCTGTTCAGAAGGTCTCTCCTTTATGGTTTAAGACTTTTGATCTTTTTTAATATCCACAGGGATCTAAAATGCCTGCTATTAAAGGAGTATGGTGAAATCACGTAATGACTCTAATCAAAGTGCCTAAAATGGATTGTGTTTCTTCACTGTGGAAACACACAAGAAGCTGCTGTATCTAAGTAGTTCTCAGTGTAAGGAAACAGGAAATGGCTTGGGGGGGAGTTAGAGGGGGAAGGGTATTTAGCCCTGCAAATATCCCCTTTCAAAGAAGCCCAGTTAGTAGGGGCCAAAAAGTCACCTAACCTTGATTGAAAGTCACCTAAGCTTGATTTCCATTTTGTAAAATTATTCCCAAAAGGCCCAGCCAAACCCCAGTGAAGTCAATGGAAAATCTTACATGAAGCACAAAGGATTTCAATCAAGCCTTATGTAACCTTTTTCAACCCAGCCTATTCATTCTTAAGTTCTGAAAACTAAATGTTGCCAAGGGCAGCAACCTTTGATGGATTTCACTCCCAAGCAAGCTAAGTAAATTTCAAAAAGCTTTTACACCAGGTCACATTCTTCACTACCAGCAAAACTACACTTTTCAGCCATTGCTTTCAATCCCAAAGCAGGTACTTGAAAGCCAGACTAGATCTGTAGAAAGTGACACCATCTCTCATTAGATCAGCTGATGCAGGTGGAGAGAATCAGACATCCTACAGCATTGCTGAGAGCCTGAAAAAGGCCTTTGCATGTCAGATGTAATAGCTGTCTCCTTCCAACCTCCTCCCTCTCCTCATGCCCTGTTTCCAGGAAGATGAACGCAGCCTGGTGGCCACACCCATGTTTGCTGCCCTACAGTGCCTCTATCTGCCTGCCAAAGGAAAAAAAAAATAAATCTTCAGAACCTCAAAGAGAATCTTCTGCACAGTACTGGCTATGTTAATCTGTGCAACCCAAAAGCTTTGATGGGCAGAATGTACTACACATCTGTGAGAGCACTGTGAGCCTGAAAGCTTCACATCTCCTGCCTTGATCCAGTATTATCAGCTGCTCCCATTTCCTTCCCCACAAACCTTGCCTTGCCTGTACTATCTTGGTGAACAACACTGTACAATACCTTGCAGTCTGGTCACCTGAAGAGCAGAAGCTAACAGCTGTGAGAACACATGAATTTTTATCATTTCTAAAAAGCCAGTGGTAAAATGATACCTTCCTAAACTTAGAGTCGATCACCATCTCTTTTCAACATTTTTCCCATAGTAGTAAGAAAGAGTCAAAAGCCTGAACAGGATTAGCTGTAGTTTCCTTTCCTAGGTTAGGAATTGAATAAACTTTCCTCAAATCCAGTGAAAACAAATCAGGAATTGAAGAAGGATGAGCATCCAAACACCCCAACTTCCAATCATGCCCTTACTGACAGGCACAAGGGCTTCAGCTAAGTGTCAAACTGTCATAGTCACAGCTTCAAGGGAAATGCAGATCACAGCTGCTTGCTCGTGGAGCAGCACACCCAGCACACAGTCAGCAGGAAAAGGTGAGATTTAAGAAGAAGACATGCAACTGGTTGAAGATGAAAAGTAATCCCTTCCTCAGCCCCTGCTGCAGCACAGCCCCTTACCTCTCAGCAATAGCTCTGGCCAGGAGAGCCTTCTTGCGTTTATTCTTCTCTTCTATCAGCCGCTGCTCCTGCTGGAGGATTTCCCAGCGTGACTTTTCCTGCCTGCTCAGTGACCAGAAGATCAAAATTAACAGAAAGTTCATTTCTCTCCCTCTTCCCCAAGTGATGCAAATATCCACCATCCTGTTTCCTGGAGCAAATGCTAAAAACCTCAAAGGAACAATAAGAAAGGTTTTGGTTCTGAGAAAAGGATCATCTGCAAGAAGTCATTCAGACCAGTAAAACATTTCCAGGTTAAATCTGCTGACCAGAACAAAAACCTTTATAAGCAAGTAAAGCCACTGGTTAATTCAGCTTTGCTGGAAGGAGCATACTGCACTTCTTAAAAAATGGGTGGAATTATTTTAAGGATATATTTGCCCACTAGGTAGAAGCAGTTTCAGGTTTCCTAGTGGCTGCTAAAAGTCATTATCTATTCAGTCTGCCAACACAGACTCATTTTGTGGAAAGCTGTTTTTTTCTTCATAAAACAGAACATTTCACAGGTCCACAAATAATTAATCTGATACAAATGAAAGGCTAGTAAAAGTTACAACAACAAATCTGGAAAAAGGAAGGAGAATTCATTTTTGCCACCAGGGAAAG